GTCAAAATGTTGGTGTCGATCATTCGATTTCATCCTGGACACTACAGAAAATGGGCTAAAAGTGTTAAAAACCGGAATTTTCCTTTAAGGGAAGGAAAGCAAAAAAAAAAAAAAGCTTATTCTAGTATGTTAAATAAAGACAATTTTAAAACTATCTAAATTGTTTTAATTAAAATGGTAATAATGATCCTGCTTTTACACACTGCAAAATGGATCTAAAATAAGTAAAAGTTACTTAAATTAAGTGAATTTATCTTTAATTTGAGCAGGTGAATAATAGATAATCTGCTGGCAGAATGAGTATTTTTACTCTTAAAATAGATATGCTCTTGAAATAAGACAATGCAACTCTTTTTTTTATATATTTCAAATTAAACTGTCTTATGCCATTGTTAAAGTGTCTCACTTAACATTTTAATGCATGTATTTTAAGAAAAATAGATTTAGCTTTATTTCCCGTTTATTATCAGATACAAACTCCTTTCCTGAATGAAAACAACTGTAAACCTAAATCTTCCCCATGTTATGAGTCTTTTTAGTGTTGGGATTAAAATCTTGTTATCATTAATAAAGCTTTTCTTTGCTGTATGAAGTTTAATTTCCTTTAATTCGTTAGGGACTGCGTTTCTCCTGGTGGATCCTAAAGACGTCCCAGAGCCTCTACAGGAATCCGGATTGAATGAACGGATTGAAAAGTTTGTCCAAGTTCACAGGAACTGCTTTTTGCTTCTCTATTCTCCCTTTAATGGCAGCAAAGAGCTGAAGGTTTTGGCTCACATTCAGCACAGGTACATCTTATCAATGTCTGCCATCTTTGCATGGAAACATTCCCTTTATTAGAGACCCAGAATAACTTAGAGACAACATTTCACTAACAGTTCTATACATAATCAAGTCGAGTGAATAAAGAAAGATGAAAACTTTATTTTCAGATTTCTTGGCAGCAATCTGAAGGTCCTTCCTGTACGAAACGCTCCTCAGATAACAAAAGCGATGCTGACGGTTGCCAAGGTAACTGATTATTTAGGAAAGCAGTCATTCTTTTCTGTTGTTCTTAGTTCGAAGTAAAGACGAACATTAACTTCCTGCAGGCCACCAGCAAGCCGCACGTGGATAAAATCCGAGAGCGGATGTCTTTGGCCCGGGCCCGCATCGTCGAGTCCAGTCCTGTGTGGGAAATGCTGAAAGGCATGTTATGATCCATGCCACCAGAGTTCGTACACGAAGCTACGTGAAGCATAAGTAGCACAGATGCAAACTGTTTTCATCTCTGTTTGGTCAAATAATTTCAACAAAAGCTTAAATAAACATTTGGAACCGCTGAAGGCTTTCTGTTATCAGCCAAAAACCCAAGCAGATCGGTGTCAGTGAAGCTCCTCCAGCTTTTCCTCTGTGATCTCGTCAATCCGGACGATGAGACTTTCCATCAAGTCGAATGTCACCAAAGCGCTCTGCAGCACCTGAGTCACAAAAACAACCTTTGCTTTTCTGTTTATTCTCTAAAACCTTCGATTAAAAGACCAGAAATCTCTACCTGGTGCTGGATCTCTGGAGACATGTGAGGGAGTTTGTCATGCTTCACCGTTATGGGTCTTAACAGTCTGGTAGACTTAGCTTTCTCCTTAGCCTCTGCAGGACGAACAGACACAGAAATAAAGGGAAGTGTTTCTGTCTTTCTGTCTGTTTAGCAGCTAAATTTAACCTTTTGCTTTCAGCCTTTGATCCTCCTTCAGTGCTTTCATCTCAGCAGAGTAATATGCTCTCGACATGCTGATGCTCACTCTCAGCATTCTTAGGTAGTCATCTTTGATCCTGCAGAAGTCCTCCCACATGTTAGCCTGAAAGTTAAAAAAGCTGTTTATATTTGTTCTTTGTTCTTTGCATGGATCAAACTAAACAAATGAAGCTGACTCACGTTTCTCCTCAGTTCCTTGTCTTGCATAAGCAGATAGCGCAGAAGATTTAGACTCTCCATCATTCTGGGTTAAAAAAGACAGAAACAAAGCAAAACAATCGGGTTTCTTTCTTTCAGTTGTATGGTGGCCAGCGGGTGCAAACGCCCTGCAAACCACGAAACAAGCTGCGAAAATGTGTGTTGCAAACTGCAAAATATGCAAGGACAAAAACAAATGCTGCAGAAAAAGACTGCAAAACAAAATATGCTGCAGCAAAAACTGACGATCAAAAGAAATGCTGCAGAAAAAGACTGCAAAACAAAGTATGCTGCAGCAAAACCTGACAATCAAATTCTGCAGCATTTGATTGTCAGTTTTTGCTGCACCATATTTTGTTTTGCAATCAAATTCTGCAGAAAAAAAAACTGCAAAACAAAATATGGTGCAGCAAAAACCGACGATCAAAACAACTGCAAATAACAAATGCTGTAATCACAGAAAGAGATGTTACAAATGGTTAAAACAGCAGCAAATTCACTGCAACAAAATAGAAATGCTCCAGACCACTAGAGGGAGCCAAACTCAGAACAAACTCTGTTAGATCAGAGTGTTACTTATGTTACAATAAGGTGCTGTTTTTCTGTAATACTGAAACAAGAATAGAAAATGAAACAGGATAAATGTCTCCTTTTGTATTTTAACATTTTTATTATTTTTTTAACTTGTGCATTAAAGTTAGACTTCCTGTTTGTACGGAGCGTCTGGTTCGGCAAGCTTTGTTCTTTGTTTGACTCCCTGTAGCAGCGTTATGCAGCATTTCTGTTTAGTGGAGCAAGGTTTCTGATTTTTACCTAATTGCATTATTTCCTTTCTGTGGTTGCATCTTATTTTGTTTGCATCTTTTGATTAATTTTAGGATTTTGTTTCTATTTTCAGTGACTGCAGCATGTTTTGTTTGCAGTGCCTTTCTTTTATGTTTTTTTCTTGTTGTTCTTGTGTTTTATTGGAGTTTGCATCACACGTTTTTCCATCCCGTTTCGTCGTTTCTGTGCATTTGCACCCGTCAGCGATCGTATTGTTGTCAACAAGGTTATTATCATTAGGTTAAACTTACAAAATGTCAAGAACTGGAATTAAAAAAAACATTTTCATGAACTGAAGTAACAAGTGTTGCACTGATGCCATTTTTTGGCCCCAATACTGATACCCAATACCTGTCTGTGCAGCATTGACCGATACTGATACCATCTGTTTGAAATTGACTACTTGGATGTAAAATAATTGCCATCATGTTTTTGTCTAGCTGCTGCCACCTTTGAGACGCAGAAAAAAGGACTAATAAAAAGTGGATCTAGTAGAATTTTTTATTGCTTACCTGGAAAGGGTGACAATAGTTGAAGAAACTTTTGACTCTCAAAATGGTATAGGTGCTCTATTTGTTGGTATTCGCCGATACCGATCATTTTAGTGCTGGATTGGGGCCCTGCCTGATACTAGTATCAGTATCGGTGCAACACTAATTAAAACTAGACCTTGCAAAAAGAAACGAAAACTAACTGAAGCTGTGCAAACATAATTAAAACAAACTGAACTTTAGGAGAGACTGTGCTTAGTTTTCGCTTGCGTCTTTATCTTAAGTGTGTATCATGAGTGTGCATCTGCATGTCAAGAGCATAATGCATTAGATGGGAGTGATGGCCTAGTGATTAGAGCAGTGCACTCTTGTTCTGAGATGGTTGCAAGTATCTGGTATGATCTCCACAGCCTCCACTCTGGGTTCCCGAACAAGACCCTTAACCCCTAGAACCCTACGGACCCACCGGTGGGTCCAGCTGC